CCCCCAGTGGCACAGCGGTATGTCTGCGGACTTACAACGATAGAATCCGGGTTTCGATACCCGTGGTGGGCAGCGCACAGATAGTCCATTGTGCAGCTTTGTACTTAATTAAAAACAAACAAACAAAACAAACAGACAAAAAAAAACTGGAATCACAGCAATCCCGTTTAGTAAAATACACCTTAAATGGACTTTTATGCTTTTTTTATTTGTTTGTGTAATGTGCTTGAAAGTCGTAGACCCTAAGAGATTAGACGGTTATGGACAGCTGTTCTCTGAAGAAGCAACTGATCTTTAAAAAAAAAAAGTACATCAGCAGTTCCATTGTTAAGACGCAGGTGAAAGAAAAGAGCATGATGTCCAAGGTAAAAAAAAGTATAAATGGCTTTCGTATACTGATAATGTTGAATATTCCTGAACACAATATCAAATAGTATTGGTTTGGGAACCAATTCTCATAAATACTTTACGCCTTCAGCTCGTAAATAAATTAATGAAACTGAAGTATTTTTTATTACTTCAATAACTTAAGAAAACTTAGTAAATGTCTACTAATAGTTAGACTTATTTAACTTTTATATTGATTTTAATATATAATACTGTATTACCAAAATTGAATTAAATTAGTGTAATGTACAGCCACGGTAAGCCTTTCTGTTTCAAATTTACATAGCAACAAGATCGGATATTGGTCAATATAGGGTTAATGACTGCACAAGGTGATACACAAAGTTCGTCTAAAGAGCTTCAGAATCACAGGTATCCTAATATCAATACACTAAAATTATGAAGAAAACATTGATGTACTTAGATATTAAAATTGATGCAAAATAACCATGAACTATTACTGTATTATTATCATCAAGATACATAGTCGATTGTAATTCACAAAAATAATAAATAAAAAGCTAACACTGTAGAACAAAGGAAAAACAATTCAGTATCAAATGAAAATGTTAAAAAATAAGAATTTTTTCACTGTTATGTGGTAAAAAAAGATGTGCTAGATGACAAATATAGTAGTCAGTTTGAGAAATAAATAAACGTATGGATGAATAGTTTCAAAAATTTAATGACATAACCCTAAGTATTGGTAATGACTGTGTAGTTTTTTGGAGAACCTGGCTGTTAGAAAAAGATAGTATGAAAGGTATGTCTCGGCCAGCTCTTTTGTGGGATACTTCAAGAATTAAGCTGTTATTTGACATTTACACTTGGCAATAGCATTAAACGTTACGAAGACATTCATCTTACAGCGGCTCGTCTTTTCCTTATCATACAGCCAATACCCATATAAACATAATATATCTCAAATGAAAAATTAAATTAATCGAATAGATCTTTAAACGCGGTATGATGTTTTGAAGAGAAAAAATAACAAGGACAATGAACTTTCACCGTAAATAAAAACCAATGGTTTATTTCATCTTAAAGTGTTGTATGATATAGAACAATGAGGCTACTATAAAGAACGTTTCGAAGTGCCAGATCATTTTCTAATAAAAATGTAACTTGAAATATTTATTCCAAGCTAAGTTTTACTTTAAATGAAAAAGAGCTAATATAAAAAAAAAAAAATTATATGTGTGTGTTTTACGAACCAACTTTTCCGTTAATATAATTGTAACCCAATGGTGGCAATCTTCATAAAATTAAGCCTATCTATTTGAAATATAAATAGCAATAAGAATGGGTCTTGAACAATACGGACGTTTCTGATTGTAAAAGGTAATACACAGAGCTCGATTGAAGAACTTTTGAACTGTAATTCTTAGATATAAGTAGGTCATCTCATTATTGAATCGCAGGATTTCAAAAGCTCTGGTATTCACATACTAAAATTGCATGCAAAAAAAAAAAAAAAACAAAACC